AGAGAGATTGGGGGAGAAAGAGAGAGAGAGAGAGAGACAGAGAGAGAGAGAGAGAGAGAGAGAGAGAGAGAGAGAGAGAGAAGTTGTGAAAAGGGGGAGGGTAGGGGGGGAGGGAATTTGATTTTAGTACATTATACTTAGTACTGCATCACGGCAATACAGCGGTTCTAATTTTTTTTTAAACCCAAAAAAAACTTGGAGATGTTGTAACAGGAGGTAACGTTTTGCGCATAAACGCTTCAGTTGTTTGGGGTTTTTTTCTCCACATTATTATATATGATATAACAATTGTCCAAAATAATTAATTACAAGATGGTATTCAAGTCCATACCAAAATTAACATTCTTCCATAATAGTACATATCCTGTTGGTTGTCGGCGGGTTCTTTGGTTCGGTTCGCTCTTTCTTTCCCATCAAACATGTGTCTTTCTTATCTCTCCTCCTTCTATTGTGTGTTTATTATTCTCTTGTAATACATCCTATGTCTGGCACATATATCACCTTATTGAGCTGCAAGTGCCGTATAATTCTTAGTAAAATCCCCCCCCCCAAAAAAAAACAACCAATGTACACACTCAAAATGTCTAACAATTATCAAATACATTTTCTGATTCATCACGTCCGCCATCATTTTCTGGTTGTCCAAAGTAAAACGACAGATCGTTGCTGAGAAACAAACGATAGACGTGAAGGACAAGCCAATCCAGATCTACTTCAACCAAGGCTTTACGGCCGAGATAACCAGCGTGGCTGTGGTGAGTACAGTTTTCTCCACTCCACAAATTCCACTGCCTTACGCTGATTCATCAACGTAATAATAATAATAATTTGAACAATATCACACCAGTACAAGCTAGTTTATACACATACCGACAAACACTCACGCACACACACACACACACACACACACACACACACACACACACACACACTAACACACACACACTAGCACACACACACATACACTACACACATATACACACACACACTCACACACACAGACACACAAACACACACACACACTCTCTCTCTCTCTCTCTCTCTCTCTCTCTCTCTCTCTCTCTCTCTTTCCCGCTCACTGACAGGGTGTAGTATAGACCCTTAATTATACTATAGTTACGTAAAGGTAAAATAAGAATGAAAAACGAAACTGTTTCAGCACACCTAAAGTAAAGACATTTTGATTTTCAGCAGGTTTTTTTTTAGTCGGCAGTTTTCTCAAACGTGACGATTTGGAGGAACATGTTAACACTGACTCAGGCACTAACATAAGAGACGCGATGATAGGGTCATATATCTCAGCTAGGTTTAGAAAAGCGTAAACCACAGTAATTTTGTCATGAGTAGGAAGTAACATAAGGATTTAGGCCTTCCGTAATGATTTTGATGACCATTGAGCTATACGTTCTCTGACCGTCTAGCCATTGAGTATTATAATCTATATTTCATAGTGGTAGCTTAAGTAACGGAAGTCCTCCCTGTGATATAATACACTGTATTATAATGGCTACCGTCAAACCTTGTTATACCGCCACCCTTGGAATGAGACTGATGTTGGCGGAATAGTGAGGCTGGTATTTCTACGGGGTTCCTTTATGTCATATTACATGTATAACCCCGACTGCCCAACGTCAAGGAAAATGATTCTGCAGTACGATCTGTGTTTAAAAGTGCCTTTTTATTGGTGATATACATGTACATGCATGTGTATTCAGAGCCGAGAGTCTTCTTCCTCTCTACATTATGTCTTTCTCATGGGAGAAAGATTATCAACTAGCCTACCAGTGGGTGTTGAAAGTGTTTATCCTTGGCCTATACCCTGGTGCAGGGTGAGAAAGGGAATGATGATGAACGAACCAGTGGGTGTTGTTGTGATACAATCAAAGTGGAATGGCCTTATATATATATATGTATA